TAGGCTGGAGAATGTCAGGATGTATGCTTGCCCCTGATTGGATGTAGGCTGGAGAATGTCAGGATGTATGCTTGCCCCTGATTGGATGTAGGCTGGAGAATGTCAGGATGTATGCTTGCCCCTGATTGGATGTAGGCTAGAGATATGTCAGGATGCATGCTTGCTCATGATTGGACCTGATGGGAAATGCAATGAATCATGGGTTTTCCTTCTTAAGCCCTACTTAATTCTGGGCCATTTCCCAGGAACCTGGGCATGGACCTGGCCAGAGCCCATCCACCTGGCCAGTATTTAATTAAAGCTTACTTTAAACTTCACTTTAAACTGTGGCCGTGCTCTTATTCTTGATTGGTGGAAGTGACGACAGGGTGCTGCAGGCCAATGGGAGTTTCCCCCAGCTGAGATACTGCCAGAATTACCTCTGTAACTCTCCATCAGTGCTGTTCTTTTCGAACAGTTGTTGCCTGGGATCATCTTGCCCACCTGGCAGAATTGTGCTTTTCTCAAGGAGAGGGCAAGGGGCTCTAAGGCAGGTCAGGACTTAACACGGCCTGTCACTTTGTGCCGCCCCCTTGAGCGACCATAGAGGCCAGCGTTGGTATAGGGGTGGTTCTAATGGCTGTTGTAGGTCAGGGTTGTCTCCTTTGTTCCAAGAATGGAGTCTGATGGCTGATGATCCTGGTGAACAAATATTTCAATATCTTAGAATCATGAATTCAGCTTATCTCTAACAGGCCTGGTTAGCACGTTACTCATCTCTGAGGTATTTTGGAGGTGGCCTCCCTGAGCCAAATTCTACTTTATATGATTTAATATCTCCCGAGTAAATCTATCAGTAAAGCCTTAATAATCAGTCCTATTACTATGAGTTCCTTCCACATCATCCTCGTCTCTCCAACTCCCAAGATAACCCTTACTCTCCACGCTAACCTCTCAGTCTCTTTTCTTCTTTTATGTTCCATGTGTCTTCTAGCTATGGTTAGAGTGTGTGTGTGTGTGTGTGTGTGTGTGTGTGTGTGTGTGTGTGTATGTTGCATATACATGTTGGTACAAGTGTGTGCATAAGGCTTATATCAGGGTCATCCTCCACCTCTCACCCTCCTTATGTTTTGAGACAGGATCTCTCAGTGAACCTGGAACTCATCATTTGACTAGGTTTGTGGAGCAATGAACTCCATGACCACCCTGTCTCCAGTCCCCACCACGCTGGAGTTACAGGTGTGTACGGCCACTTCCTGCTTTTTACCTGAGTGCTGAGATCTGACCTCATGTCTTTATGTCTGTGTAGCAAGACCTTTACCCAGGGAACCTCCTCACCAGCTTGGTTTTTCAAAATTCTATGATCCTGATGCATTTAGGGAACTTTTTAATTCCTCCTTGGACCTATTTGATTCTCCTAGGTTCACAGCATAGAGGTGGACTGTCCCTGTTCAAATCAAAGCTTTACTATGAACCAGCTGTGTGACTGACTATTATTAGAAGTTACCTAATCTGGTTGTGAAGTTCCTCAGCTATCACAGTGTGGAAAGATTTGAGGAATTGGTCTACCCAGCAGTCAGATGTCCTGACAGCAGCAGGCACTCAATTTACAGGAACGTGAGAACAACAAAATCAGCAGAAATGTCCATGAATCAGGAGCCGGCAAGGCAAGACAGCCTGGAGTCAGGGGGGACAGAGGAACTTCAATGATGGGGTGCTGCTCTCCTACACTCAGCATAGGTGGAAAGGGCATAAGAAAATGGATTTATTGTGTAAGTTATTGGCTTTGAAAGGGCACCCATAATTTTATCACACCATGAACACATCAGATTTTTCTGCTACAGAACCCCAAACTTTGCAACCCCCACCCCTGCAAAAAAAAAAAATCTCAACCTTCAGTTATCTGGCACAAGACAGGCCATGTGAAAGGTGCAGTCCCTCCCTCAGGCTCTTCCGCAATTCATGGGCTTCCTTTTTTTCCCCTTCCTGACCGAAAGGGCATTTAGAGAACACTAGCGGATAAAAGCTGAGGTCTCCAGCAGTCCCAGGCACCAGGGGACAGCGGTGACCATGCATGGCTCCACGGAAACCAGGATGCAGCAGCTGGGTTCTGTGGGTGAGGCTGGGCTGGGATGTGGGGGCATGGTGAGGGAGACCAGCTGGAGCAGCTCAGAGTGGAGCCTGCCCAGGCTCTGACTAGAACTGGGTTCCCTCAGAGGATGAAGAGTGGATGGTCACTGGCACCAGGTGTTCCAGTAAAAGCTCCAGACTACGATCAAATTCTGGAATCAAGAATTTGGCAGGTATGGCAGAGTGAGGGGCTGAGGCAAAGTGGAAAGCCTTCCCCAGAGTGGGTCTCAAAGAGTTGAAAGCTAGAACTCTAAACTTCTCTCTCCCTGGTAGATGGAGACTGGAGCAGGAATTGTGGGCCACTGGGAACGCTGGAGGAGGTGGCTAGGGGAGAGATGACAAGCTATGGGAAGAGAAGGCCAGGGAAGGGAATCGTGGGCCATGGGGAGGTGGAAATTGGGACAGGGAATTGAGGGTCCTGGGAATATAGATGGTAGACCAAGAAATTAAGGGTCTTGGGGAAGTGGAAACTAGGGTAGGGAATTGAGGGTGTGGGGAGATGTAATATGGAGTAGGAAATCACAGACCATGAGGAGACTGAAGCCAGCGAATGAAATCACGGACCATGTGGGGGTAGAATCTGAGAGTCTGGATTCACAGCCGGAGGGAGGAGGATGCTGATTACCTGTTCTGGAATCAGAATAAGGCAGGGACATCATCATACTTAAAAGTCCACTTTTTCTCGGGCAGGATGCCTGGGACACAGCCCCTTGGTCCTGCAGCTGTTCTCCTTCCTGTTCCTGGCTGGGCTCCTGCTGGTCATTCTCGTCCAAGGTCAGGCACAATGGAGGCCTCAGCTCTCTGACCCAGTTCTCCAGCTAGGGCCTTCTCTAGGTCTAGAAGGGAAGTGGGGTGAGCAAGTGGATGGCATGTCCTCTGAGGATTCCCCCATGTCTGCTGTGAGAATGAGAAAAGGGGCATGGGTGGATCCTAGATCCTGGATCTATTTCTCCTTATGATTCAGTTTTTTCTGAGTGATAGGTTTTCTAGTCTCTGAACAAGATTAAGGAAGACATTAGTGAGAAACTTTCCTAGACGGTGGGGTGCTGACATGTGCCTACAGTCCCAGCTGCTGGGGAAACTGAGGCACAATGATCATTTGTGCCAAAGAATATGAGAGAAGCCTTGGCAACAGAATGAGACTCATCTCAAAAATAAATAAATAAATAAATAAATAAATAAATAAATAAATAAATAAATAAATAAATAAAAATGTGACACAATGTCTCAGAGAACCCAGTGCAGGACTCGGTACACAGGGGGCATTTAATAATGAAACTTTCCTTTTTTTCCTCCTCACAGTTTCCAAGACCCCAAACACCCAGGGGCAGGAGGAATCCAAGCTTGAAGAGATCTACCAGGAACTGACCCAGCTGACAGATAAACTCCGTGAGTGACCAAAACCCAGAAGTTTCTATGCCTGGGGAGGGCTCCATGGGGAAGGGCTCCATTTTCTTAAATTGTCAGATCTCCTTGAGTCTCAGTTTTCTCCTCTTGAGTTGAGACCACAGGATAACAATAAAAAAATGGTACTTCGTATTTACAGGGGTTGTGCACACAATAGGAACTCGGTGTCCATGGGGGCTGTGTACACAGTAAGCATTCACCATTCACAGGGGTCATGTACACAGTAGGCACTCAGTGTTCCTAAAGAACACGCCCATACTTGGCATGTAATACATACAGAGGGTGCACACAGCAGACACCACACGTTCTCTGGGGCCATCTCTGCAGCTGATGTCCACAGGGGCCATTCACATGGTAGGTACTCAGTTAAACTGTTCTCTTGGTCTCTGCTCTGATTGCTAAGCCTCAGTTTCTCCCAGTCTGGAGGATAATCCTTGGGCCTCCTGGGGTTGGGGTTGGGGAGGAGGAGTGGAGAGGGGAATGGTTCCCTCGGATGCTCTGTCACTCTGAAGGGCCTGGAGGTTGAGCAGACAAAGAACATGGGTGTCCAAGTGTGCGTTCATCCTGACCAGTCCCCTCCCTGAGACTAGGCACTCTTCAGGGTGCTCAGTTTCTCAGTCTTCAAAGGAGATTTAACAAGACGCCAATCAGAAACTGTCCTGGGTGCTGGACTAGCCGCACCTACCTGCAGTCTGAGCTCCTGGGAAGATGAGGGAGGGGTGGCCATGGATCCACAGGAGTTTGAGAAGCGCTGACACCAAGTGAGACTTATCTACAAAATAAAATGCCACTTGGCTGGTGCAGGAGCTTAGCAGATAAAAGTGCTTGCTTCCAAGACTGGTGACCTAAATTCAAGCCCTCAAACTTGCAGAAGGAAAGAACTGACTCCTACAAACTGTCCTCTGACCTCCATGCACAGAAACATGCATATGTGCACACACACACACACACACACACACACACACACACACACTTTTTAAAATGACACAATGTCCCTAAAGACCCTGTACAGATCATGGCACACAGTAGGTATTTAATAATAGCAGTTTTTTTCTTGGCACAGTGCCCAAGACCCCCATCCCCCAGGGGCAGAATGAGTCCATGCAGCAGAAGATCTCCGAGCAACTGGCACAGCTGAAGACTGAACTCCATGGTGAGAAACTAGAGATCCAAGGCCTTGGGTCTTTGTAGGGTCAATTTTCTTGAGCCATCGACCTCTCTGAGCCTCAGTGTCCTCATCTGTGAATTGAAACCACAGAGTAACAACAAGGATGATATTTGCTGTTTACAGGGACTGTGCACACAGTAGGCACTTGAGTTTATAGGAGTTGTATATAGGATAGCCACTCAGTGCTCACAAGCACCATGCATACATTAGGCACTTAATGTTCAGAGGTTCTTAATATTCATATACACAATGTGAACTCAATGTTCAAAGTGCTGTATACACAGTAGGTACTCAATTAAGTCAATCTCTTGGGGTCTGTTCTGAGCTTTAAGTTGAAGGAGATGGATGGGAACTCCTGGGCTTTCCTGGGGTTGGGGAGGGATTTAGGAAGCAGAGAAGGGAATAGTTCCCCAGGGTGCTGTGCCAAGGGAAGATCTTCACTCCAGACAGCCTGGAGGTTGAGCCGAAAAGGCACATAGGCATCCAAGTGTGGGTTCATCCTGACCAGCCCCCTCCCTGGGACTAGACACCCTTCTAGATGTTTAGTTTCTCAGTCTTCAAAGGAGATTAAACAAGACATCAATGAGAAACCATCTCAGAAGCTGGGGCAGTGGCCTGTGTCTGCAGTCCTAGCCTCTTGGGAAGTAGAAAGGGAGTGCTCATTTGTGCCAGGCAATTTGTAACAATCTGTGACACAGTCTGATCCATAAAACACCATGTAAGACCCCCAGGGACCCAGGGCAGGTCATGGCAAACAGGAGGTATTTAATAATGGCAGTTCATTCTTTTTCTTGGCACAGTCTCCAGGATCCCCAGCTCCCAGGGATGTAATGAGTCCATGCAGCAGAAGATCGCTGAGCAACTGACGCAGCTGAAGACTGAACTCCGTGAGTGAGAAACTAGAGGTCCCGCAGAGCTCTTTGTGCCTCAGTTTCCTCACCTGTGAATTGAGGCCACAGGTGACAAGGATGGCACTTGATGTTTACCACCCACTAGGCATTCCATGTTGACAGGGACCATACGTACACTAGGTACTCAGGGTTCATAAGGACTAAGCATACACCAGGTACTCACTGTTCGCAGGGGCACACAGGAGGTACTCAGTGTTTTAGGGACCATGCATACACTAGGTATTCTATGTTCACAGAAACTTTGTGCACACACTAGGCAGTCAGTATCTTTAGGGTGCACACACGCAATAAGTACTCAATGTTTACAGGGGCCAGGCACACAGTAGGCACTTAGTGTTCAAAGGGACCATATACACAGTAGGCACTCAATATTTACAAAGCCTGCACTGGTCAGCTTCTCTGGAAGAACAGACTCCAAGAATGAATATTTATCAAAAGGCCGAGAACCTATTAGTCACCCAGTCCACACATCTGGATGCCTCAGAGTCCCAGTCTGGGGGCCTGGAGGATTCCTGGAGAGCCACAGACCTTCAGGTCACAATGAAAGGCTGAAGGAGCTGGATCAACGTCAGTGAAACACCAGAGACAATAACAGGGTAGATGGGAAGATGGACAGACAGCTGCAGCCCTGCTTTTCCCTTGGCTTGGCATGTCTGGGCCAGCCCTGCGAGGTGCTGCCCACTAGGTGAGGGTCTTCTCTGTCCTGTTACTCTTTCCTGGAAATACCCTCACCTCCCTGTCCCAAGAAGTGTCTCTTGATTCATTCCAGATCCAATCACATTAACATCAGCTGTGCCATGAACACAGTAGGGACTCCATCTTCACTGAATTTGTGCACACAGTAGGCATTCAGTGATCACAGGGACTGTGAAGAGTCATCACACAATGTTCATGGAGTTATGCACAGAGTAGGCACAGAGTGTTCATAGGTATCTGCACAGTAGGCACGCAGTGTTCACAGAGCAAGGCACACAGTAGGCACTCAGTTAAGCCTCTGTTCTGAGCTCTAAGCCCCTACTTCTCACCATCTAGAAGAGGAAATGGGGCCAAGACTACTGGGTGTTAGGTGTCCTAATCTTCATGGGGAGGAAGTCCCCGACGTTGGGCTGTGGCACATGCCTGAAGTCCAAGCTTCTTGGGAAGCTGAGGGATGATTCGTCCTTATGCCTAGGAGTTTGAGAGGCTTTGGCAACAGAGTGAGATCTGTCTCAAAAGAGAAATGGCATAATGTCCCTGGGGACCCATCTCAAGTCAATGCACACTATAGTTGTCTAATAACGGCAGTTCCCCCTCTTTTTTCTTGGCCCAGTTTCCAGGATCCCTAGCTTCCAGGTGCAGAACGATTCTAAGCAGGAGAAGATCTACCAGCAGTTGGTGCAGATGAAGGCTGAACTCTGTGAGTGAACAGAGGCCTCAGGGCCTCAGGCAGTCTTTACTGTGGGTCCTCAGACATCGTTGGACCTCAGTTCCCTCCTCTGAATTAGCACTTGGTATTTACAAGGGTCATGAAAACAGCAAGCACTAAATGTTCACAGGAACCTGGGCACTCGATGTTCACAGGGGTTGTGCACACAGTAGGCACTCAGTGTTTACAAAGGCCGTGAGCCGTCTCCTGGCCTCTGTTCTGAGCTCTAAGGCTCTACTTCTTCCAGGCTGGAGGAAGTGGGGACTCCTGGGTTCCCCTAGAGTTGCAAAGGGGCACAGAAATGGAAAGGAAGTGGTTTGGCAACATGCTGTGTCATGGGAGGGCCCTGACTCTGAAGAGCTTGAAGGCTAAGCAGGCACAGGTGTGAGTCCATCCTAACCCACTTCCCCAACAGTCCGCCTGTGCCGCCCCTGCCCCTGGGACTGGACGTTCCTCCTAGGAAACTGTTACTTCTTCTCCAAGTCCCAGCGGAACTGGAACAATGCGGTCAAGGCTTGCCAGGAAGTGGAGGCCCAGCTGGTCATCATCCAAAGTGATGAAGAGCAGGTACATGTGGTGGGATGCCGTCCTGGGCTGTCTGTACACCTGGCTCTGGATCACCCGGGATGAAGACAGTTTGCCAGAGTTCCATGAGGGAAAGAAGTAACTTGTAGAAATGGGGGGATCCCAAGCCCTCGGCATAGAATCATGTACTAAACATTTGTGAGTGTGTGGGAGACACCTGAAATGCAGTAGATATCATCTCTGTGCTGGTCAGTATTTAGCCACCTGCTCTCTGAGAGACAAAAGTCTTGGTTTGCAGGCTGATTGGATAGCTCAGGAGACAAAGGTGCTTGCCACTAAGTCTCACAGCCTGAGTTCAATTCCTAAGCCCCACGTGGTAAAAGGAGACAATTAACTCTTTTAAGTTGTCCTCTGACAGACATACCTGCACTGTGGCATATGCATGACCCATCCAAACAAACATACAAGTAGATGCAATTCAAATTAAAAAAAATAATAATAAGACCTGGTGTGGGGGTGCATCACAAGCTTGAGGTTCAAATCCAAAGAAAAGGCAGGAATGGGGTGGGATGGCTCAGCAGGTGATGGTGCTTGCTGTCAAGCCTGACTACCTGGGTTTGGTCCCCCCTGGTGGAAAGAAAGAACTAACCCCAAGCTGTCCCCTGACCTCTACGTATGTGCTGTGGCATGCACACCCACATATACATATGAGGTACACACACATACATGCATACATATATAGACACACAACTCTCACACACAACGTGCTTGCCAATTCCCCAGGTATAAATATTCTCACCGTGAGTAATATCAAATTTATAATGAAGTGTCACTGAAGAACTGAAAAAGGGCCATGCATCTTAAGTGAACATGAATTAGTATGATCTGCTTCCAGCACATTCAGGGTGGTCATGAGGAAATTCTATTGACTTACTCAAAATTCTTAAGAGAGACCCTGCAACATTAGCAGATGTGGGTGGAGAGGCCAGCTGTGTATTTCCTTTTTTAAAATATAGTGTTATTGTGTTTTAGACAGGGTCTCACTCAGTAGCCATGGCTGATCTGGAACTCACAGAGATCCTGTGGAGTTCTGAGATTAAAGGCGTGTGCCTCCACATCCAGCCAGCTGGGTACCACCCTGTGCCAGAGTGCACGTGCCCATAGTCTCCAGACATAAAAATAGCTAATATCGTCTAAGCCCACATGAGTGCCCATGGCCTGAAAAAGAGGAAGGGGAAAGGTGGGGTTGCAAATAGAACGTCCTGGGAGAGTTTGGGGAGGCACAAGCTGAAAGTGGGGAGAAGAGATTTCCCTGACTCTCCTCCTCTTCCCCTCCAGACCTTCCTGCAGCAGACGTCTAAGGCTAAAGGAACAACCTGGATGGGGCTGTCAGACCTGAAGAAGGAAGCCACATGGCTGTGGGTGGATGGCTCACCTCTGTCGTCCAGGTAGATCCAGGAAAAGGGAACAACCGTTAGAGTGGAGTGGAGACAGGTCTTCGGTGCTCTGACTTGAGCTGTCTTTGGGGCTCACTCCCCTCTCCCTGGCTCCTTAGGAATAAGAGCTGCCCACATTTGCTGAAGGAAGGAGATCTCCCTACCCATGCACAGACAGAATGGCAGCAAATCCCCCCAGGAAAGCAGCAAGAGAAGCTTCCCCCTGAGGGGTATGGGTTTTAATGCAGGATATTAATAGAAAATACAAAATAAAGCAAGGCCACGGGTGAGGGGACTATAACCAAGGGAAGATGGCGTGCTGGGCTGGACACATAAGTGTGTTTATACAGTAGCAGGATGGAGCCATAGGTCCAATCCCCAGCACTTTGTAATCTGGTATGTGGTCCATGCCTGTAACCCCAGCACTTGGAGAAGAGAGAAGAATCAGAAGTTCAATGTTATCTTCAGCTACATATTGAACTCTGAGCCAGCCTGGGATACATGAGACCCTGTCTCAAAAAGTTTTTGGAAAGGAAAAGTAAAAAGGAAGTAAATGGGGAGGAAGGAAGGGGAAAGGGAGTGGGGGAGGAAATGGAAGGGAGGACAAAGATAGCTTAAAGGTAGTTTATAAAGATGCTCCCAGATCCTGCAGCATGACGAGAGATCATGGGAAAGAACCACAATAAGCCAGAATATACAGGAAGGACACACAATGGAAAGAGCCTTTACTTTGGTGTCCATGCAGAGGAACAGAAGAGACAGGCTTAGTATCTATTAGTTTGCCATTTCAGGGTCCTGACCTTTAGCTGTCTGGTGCTTGGCATGGGGCAGGTACATTGTGGTCCAGAGTGTAAGAACCCAGTAAGGAAGTGGAGTCCGGATTGGTTGGTTTACATTTGAAAACCATGCTCTCTCAATATAAAATATAACTAGAGTCAGAATTCAAAGCCACCCTACTCTGGCATGTCCCTGGATTCAGAACAAGGCCCATCCAACCATATGCTTTCTGGGGGATGTGAGACACTGAGTTCCAGGAAGCTAAGAACATGCTTGGCAGCATGTCACTGCAGCAGACTAATGTGTTGTTGACCGGCTGTCCAGATTCCAGAAGTATTGGAATAGAGGAGAGCCCAACAACATTGGGGAAGAGGACTGTGTGGAATTCTCTGGGGATGGCTGGAATGACTCCAAATGTGAACAACAAAAGTTCTGGATCTGCAAGAAGTCTGCAGTCCCGTGCACTGCCAGCTGAGGACCAGCTCATCTCAGCTTCTGCTCCCATACTCTTCTGACAGGTGGACGAACCTGTCTCAGGCTCACGCCAGCTCCTCTCCCTGCCTGTTGGCCTTAGTATGTTGACAAAGCTCTGAGATTCCTCATCCTCCATGTGTCTCCTAGTTTCATTCCTGTTGCTGTGATAAAATGCTCTGACAAAAAGCACCTCAAGGGAGAAAAGGGTGTATTTTGCCTCACATTCCACCTGATGGTCCATCACCGCAGGACAGTCAGGATGGCGGAAGCTTGAGACAACTGGTCACATCACATCAACAGTCAGGAACAGACAGAAATGCACACCTGTATGCTCACTCCCTCGCTTGCTGGTGCTCAGCTCAATCTCCCCACTCACACGGTTTAGGACCCCTGCCTAGGGAGTGGTGCCAACCACAGTGGGCTGGATATTCCCACATCTGTCAGTTAAGACAATCCCACACACACAAGCTCACAGACCAACCCAATGTAGGAAGTCCCTCATTGACACTCTTTTCCCAGGTGACTCTGGATTATGTCAGGGTAACAATTAAAGCTAACTGTCACAATGGGACTGGCTCTCTGGCTTTCAGGTTTCACTGGGTTTAGAGACCATGGTCGTCCCTCACCTTAACACTTCCATATAGTTAACAGATATGGGATGCATTCAGAACCTGAGTGTTTTCCATTAATTTTCTCTGTCTTCCTTGCTGAGATCAGAGGAGTGTGTGTGTGTGTGTGTGTGTGTGTGTGTGTGTGTGTGTGTGTGAGATGTATGTACACATGTGTGTTGATACATACACTTGGAGGCCAGAGGAAGACATTGGTGTCCTCCATAGCTCTCTCCTTTATTCCTTTGAAACAGAACTTGGAGTTCAGTGTTCTTCAGCAGGGCTGGCAACCTGAAAATGCCGACATCCTCCTGTCTCCATCACCTCCTAAAGTGGGGCTGCAGGCACAGGTGGCCATGCCTGGCCTTTTCCAGGGGCTGGGGTTGCAAGCTCAGGCCCTCTTGCTTGCACAGGCGCACTCCTATCCAGAGTTTCTCCCCCGCCCTCGGTCCCTTGTCAGGTGTTCTTGCCTCCTGTTGCTCAATAACGCATCCTGAAAAAACGCAAGTTGGGGGGAAAAGGGATTATTTTGGCTCACAGTTCTGGGTTATAGCTCATCACTACAGGGAAATCAAGGCAGCTAATCACATCACATCCAAAAGAAAAAATAAATGCACACATGCCTAGCTTTTTCTATTCTTCCATAGTCGCCCAAACCTAGAGAACATTGCTGCTCATATTAGGACGCCTCAACTGACTTAAGACAATGCCCTCCAGACATTCCTTCAAGCCCACCCAAAGTAGACAATCCCTTGTTAAGGCTATTCTTCAAGGTTGTGTCAAACTAACAATTAAAGCTAACCATTCCATCATGTCATCGCTGCCTGGTCCCCTGAGACTTGATCCTGTCCCCATACACTTTCCTTGATCTGCTCAGTTTCCATTAACCTGCCTGAAACCCTTTGGCTAGGAACCTTCCCTGGCCTCTGCAGCTCATCATGCAAACTGAAGCATGACGGAGATGATTCTTCCCATCCATCCCTGACTCCAGGTGCTGGCATACAAATACGTCCGCTCAGGGGCTGGAGAAATGGCTCAGCAGTTAAGAGCACTCACTGCTCTCCAGAGGAGTCCAGCTCTCAGCACCCATGTCTCCAGGAGAATCTATCACCCTCATACGGCCTCCATGGCCATTTGCACTACATGAGGCGAACATGCAAATGTATGTGTTTGTCACACACACACACACACACACACACACACACACACACACACACGCACACACACACACAAGTACGCACGCACGCACGCACGCATGCACGCGCACACAAGTAAAAACTAAATAAAGTAATAAATACACCAACTCTCTCCTGTCTTAGAGATGTCGTGGTGGATACTAGGAGGATCTCCCAGATTTCCCCTCCGAGGAGAGCATGTTTCCCCTGCTGCTAGACAACATTCTGTTGAAGGCAGCTGTTACCTGTCAGCCTGCTAATGCTTAGACTTCTTCAACATGAGACTTCCTGCCTGGGGCAGCTCAGGTGTGTGAGAGACAATGCTGTAGTCTTTTCTGTTCCTTAGTTCCCCTTTTTCTTAACAAACGTGTTAGCGTTACTTCTTCCGTGTGGTATCTTGGATGTACTTCTCTTTTTCTTCAGTCCCAAGTAGTCCTGACATCCTCCATGGTGCTGGCTTTTGTTAGCTCATGGACCTGCACCTTTAAGATGCTTTAAGGTCTAACAGCCTGAGGAAACCAGGCCGGCCGCTCCCCCACCTGGAGCTGACCACCTCTGCTGGGCAAAAGGAAGAAGCAATACCAAAGGAGCAATAGCAAAGGAGACCTAGTCCTGCCTTCCCCAAAGGGGGGGGGGGCTAGGGGCCTGGGGTGTCCTTAAAGACTTTGGAACTGGCAGAGCCTGTGAACAAAGTCCCTCCCTACCTCTGCAGCCCCAACCTTGAGTAATGATCAAATTTCTGATGCCAGCAAACCATGTATTAGCCATCCCCTGATGTTTCCCCTCCCCCAACTCCTCTCAGAATCTCCCCACCTCCCTACCCACCCAACTTTATATTCTCCCCGCTCTCTCCCTCCAAAAATGAAATGAAAACACAAAATGAAAATCAAAACAAATAAGCAAAAGACCAAATAAGACAAAACAGTTATGAAACGAAACAGTTTGTTTTGTGTTGGTCAACTATTTCTGGGCATGGAGCATGCTGGAAGGGCAGAGGACAGACCCAGCAACACTCCACTGGGGAAAGCTGATTTCTCCCTTTGCCAGTGGGTGACAGTTGTTTAGGGGTGGGACCCTGTGTCCACTACCCCCTCGCAGTCCTGGGACCTCCATCTGGTTTGAAACTAGGGGAATCTTCTGCACACCTTCCCACCAGCTCACTTGAGTCAGATAGGTCCCTTCCTAGATGCACTTGTGAATACAATCTGCTTGCACCACAAATCAGCACCATTGCCTGTGTGTTCTCCTCCCTGTCCCTGGCCTCTCTCATGACAGCTCTTTCTATGTTTAACCGCTGAGCAGCCAGACACATCCTTAGCCTGGTTTTTTTGTGAGGTGTTTCTTTCTCTCCTGCAATTATGACAGGTAGCTTTGTTTTGTTTCCATGCTATTCATCACCTGTATTAACACGATATTCCACAGAACGCAATGTTTATCATCGTTTTATCACAGCCACCTTACCCCCCAGTGTATTCTCAGTACATCACCAGTGTATCCAACATATCTGCCCAACATCCCCAGTGTGCTCCCAATGCCCAGTCTTTGGTTCCAGATTATGCCACAGAGTGTCTCTGCCATTCTTTGTCTGTTGAGGCCCTGCCCTCACGTCGCCAAAGCCCCTTTCATGTATTTCAGCTTTGTGGTTGTAGTTAAGCATCCAGGCCTAGTGAGGCAGCTCACTGGATGAGGTCACTTGCCACTGAAACTGAGGACCTAGGTTCAGTCCTCAGAGAGCCACATGGTGGGAGGAGAGAACTAACTCACCACAACTTATCCTCTGGCCAACACGTGGATGTTTTGCAGCCTGTACAGGTGTGGGAAGGCACACACACGCACGCACACATAAATGAAGTAAAGAAAAAAATAATCAGATACCCACAGTCACCATATCATTTCATATTTGTTTATGAACATATCTTCCCTTCCATGTGAGCATTTATAAAAATCATACACTTATTTCACACTTTCCAGTGATTGTCATAGACTATGGAGGACATCCAAATACCTTTAGCAAGCTGGCTCAGTGGATAGAGATGCCAAATAAGCTTGATGACCTGAGTTGGTTCCTACTCCCATGGTGGAAGGGAAGAATGATGGACATGTACAGGTTGTTCTCTGTTCCCCACATGCCAGCTTCTCTCATGTGCTTCTCCTCTCTCTCTCTCTCTCTCTCTCTCTCTCTCTCTCTCTCTCTCTCTCTCTCTCTCTCTCTC